GCTGCAGCGCGGGCCGGCGAGAGCAGCCGCGTTTGCTGTGGACGCCCTCTGGAGGGCGCTGTCCACATGGATGTCCCAGTCAAAGCCTCAGGAGGGCGAGAGTGCTGGCACCATGCACACGATGTCTGGGAGACAGGGCTTTGATGGGGTGAGCAGCACCCCAGCCCTGCAGGCCTCTCTGACGGAGGTGTGAGACCGTGCCCACCGGGGGCCTCGGCAGCAGGGCACGGCGACGACGCCCTCACCGTAACCCCGAGGGCTGGCGCTTGGGCAGCTGTGCGCGAACACAGCGTGTTCACCTGCGGCTGGGGGCGCCCCGCCCGGCGGGGCACTGCGCTCACAGCGGCACGGGCCGCACGCATAGCCGACCGCCAGATCCATCGTGAAACGCCGGCCAGGAGACCCCCGACCTCTCACGGACCCTCAGCCCTGTCTACACAGGGCCCGTCTCTGCACAAACACGAGAAGGCCGAGCTCTGGCTCACCGTCCAGCCTGTCTCTGGACTCAGGACATCAGAGATGCCCACTCTGCCGGGGCGACTCCACACCGTCCCTCTTCCAAGCAGCCCTGGGTTCCACAGCAGGAGGAACAGCCATGAGGGCCGGAGCTTTCCCACCCCTCGACTCGCCACCCACCTGAGCTGAGGTGGAGGAGCACGGCATGGAGCTGCCTCTGTGCACCCACCCGGGAGTGAGTTCTTGCTGCGCCTTTCAGGGGACGCATGGTGACACCCGGCCATCCAGAGCGCCACCACGCAGGCCGACAGGCTCAGGGCAGGCATTGCACCCGGGCCGGGCCTTTGCAGGGTGAGCTCAAAGTGAGAGTGACAGCTTCGCCGGCACAGCCGGTCATGGCCACCTCACCCCCGTGGTGTGTGTCTAGAGAAGGGACAGAACTGCCCACATTGGGGACGTCCTGGCTGCTCTCGACGCAGAGCAGGGGGACCAGCGTGTGCTGTGTGAGTCGTCCCCGGGCTCAAGCTGCACCTGACAGTGGGAGCGGCCCGAGAAGCAAGATGGTGCAGAGCGTCGGAGACCTGCCTGGCAGCTGGGAGGGTCCTTGCTGCCCCGCTGCCGAGGCTGTGGCAGGGGCTTCGTGTGCTCCTGGGGCTCTGTGGGAAGGCCTGGCTTTGGGCCTTGGTCTGACCTGAACCGCCGGCCGGCCGTGCCTGCGATCTGGCCGGCTGTAAGGCTGAGTGGTTGGGTACACAGGGCCCTGTCGGGGGTCTCTGTCTCTCTCTCATGAAAAAAAGCAGCAAACTTCAGGACAAGACTTCTAGGCCATACATCCCTTTGAAAAGCGAGAGCTTCTCTTCTCAAAGTGACCTGCACTTCGAACGTCACGCGTGGTCTCCAGACCTCCTTCATGCCCGGGGGGCGGGGGGGTCACAGCCCCTCCTGGAAACACCCTGCCAGCCCCCGCGCACGTGGCCCTGTGCTGAAGGAGGGGGGTCCAAGCAGGGCGGAGCATGGAGGGAAGATCACCCACCGCAACATCGGGCATCCTGGGAAACCGCGGACGCCTCTTCTCACCTGGGGACTATCGGAGGTCACAGCTCCCGCCACCCTCGCCTGAGGGGAGGCCAGGGACAGAGGGCAGCAGGGGATAAACATGCAGCCAGAGAGAAGCAGATGCGACCCATCCTCCGGAAAGGGTCCAGCAGCAGAACCAGAGGAAGTCACGGCCATGGGTTCCCCACCTTCCCCAGCCGACAGGGCCAGGCTGGACCAAGACACCAGATTGCCACCCAGAACGCAGGGACAGTGCATTCCACAGCCGAGCCTGCGCCCTGAGTTAGCTGGGGTATCTCGGTGCCAGAGAGGTGCAGGCCCCAGTCGGGAGAGGCCTTCGACACGCCCAAGAGCTCTCCACAGCCTGCCGGGTCCCACGGCGCTGACCGCATCACTAGCCTTTCTGTCACCCCCCCGCTCGGATCTCGGATGTCAGAAAGGGCTGAGCCAGAGAAGCGGGCCAGGCACCCTCCCATGCACCGCCACCCTCCGCCTCGCCCTGAGTGCATCGGGCAGGGCTGAGTTGCGGCCTCCCACCACACCCAGCTCTCGAGCCATAGCCCATGCTTGGGGACCTCCCCTCCAGCCTGGCTGGACATTTCCTGCAGCCGCTTCCCGCCCCAGCTCCTGCCAGGCCGCATTCCATGTTCCTTGCTGTGCACGCTTGCTGGAGACAGCCGTGCAGCTGCCCCTGGCCTCTCGGATCCTGCAGGGTCTCGGGACCCTCGGGCGAGCCCTAGGCTCAGCCTGGGAGACAAAGGAGTCTCTCAGAGCCTGCCGAGTGCTTCCTCAGCCCGCACCCGACCGACCTCGCAGAGTCCCAGAGCACCCCGTCTGTCACTCCCGAGCTGTGCGAGTATCCGCGGAGGAAGGGCCGGCCGGCCTCTGGCATGGAGACCTCGGGGGTGGGTGGGCTGAGCCCGTGTCTCACCGCCTGCTCCCCAGGCCGCTCTCACGGTGTTGGCCACGGGGCCCGAGCATCACAGTAGGCTTGGTGCTGAGCACATCTCAAAGCACCGGCTGCCGCAGGAATTTTGTGAAAAAGTGGAATGAAGGCATGAGTTCCCTTGGTGCACAAATTCTGAAACTCACGCTTACACCCACCAAGCGCAATTTCCACGGGCTTCCGAGGGCCTCAGTATTTGCTGACCGACTAACTCAGGCAGGAAGGGGTCGGCCCCGCGAGCCGGGCCATGGGTCAGCGAAATGCGCTCGCCGCTTTTCGAGCACGTAAACTGCTATTCTTTATAGGGTCCCCGTGCCTCAGAGCTAACGTCATCTGGTCCCCAGAACGTGACTCTGAGCGTTTTCTCTGTGGTGGGGACGGAGACTTCAGGGCCGATCTGCCCTGCTGTCTGCTGGGACAGCTAATCACCACATCGGCCACTGCCTGCCCACACCACGGGCCCTGAAGCAAAGGCCCCCCCAACATGGTGACATTCCAAAGGCGGGGACCCTGCCACCCGGAGCCCACAGCATGGCCTGCTCATCTGACAGACCCGGCCAGGGAGGCGTGACCATGTGACGCACTCTCTGGAGTGCCACCAACCGGTGCTGGAAGGCATCTGCTTTAGAAGCGCTTCAAAGAATCCGCAGAAGGCCCAGAAGCCCCACTACCCGAGCCCCCTGCTCAGTGAGCCGACAGCAGGGGCAGGGAACACCGGTAAGTCACCTTAAGTCAAATCACCGTGCTGAGGCTGCCCGGCTTCTGGTGATGAGGGACAGGAAATGGCCCTGTCTTGAGTATGCACAAGCTAGCAGATTTCTGCCCCACCCCTCAGGAGCGGCGGCCAGGAGAGAGACTGGCACCATGAGGACAGTCGCTGAGCTCAGACCGCCTCGGCTGGATGACCTCCCGCGGAAGGAATGCAGGCCTGGAAACCTATTTTAAGACCATGAGCGCAGAGAGGGGAGCGGGGAGGCAAGACCGTGAGAGCAGAGAGTGGAGAGGGGAGCGGGGAGGCGGCGGAGGGAGGCGGAGGGAGACGGAGGGGAGAGGGAGACCGAGGCCCTCTCCGAGCGGGGTACGCACGCAGACCTAGCGCAACGGGTGACATGGAGCCCCTCTTGCTGGGAGTGTGGCCTGCCCGCCCCGTGCCCACAGGCTGGGGCAGCACCCTCGTGAGACCATTGGACCCAGAGAACTCCTCCAGATGTGCTTCCTTGAACCAGAACCAACAGAATCGACATTCCTCGTCACGACTGAGGAATGTCACGCTGAGCGGCAGGAGGCACGCCAGAGAGACAGGAAACACGGTGCCGGGAAGGAGGTGGGGACGGGACGGCATGCGGGCACGACCCGCTGGCCCAGGGCGCTCGGCCATGGCGGAGGAGGACGAGCCTGTCTCTGTTCCAGGTCTCTGGGCAAAAGAGGATGGGAGCTCTGCTTAAACTGGGGTCCCCGCTCAGTACGCCCAAGAATGTCTGCCCTCCGTGTGGCAGAAAGGGAGGGTGTGGAGAGGAGCATGGGTACCAGAGCCGGCAGGGGCAGAGGGAGGGCACATTTCACATAGGGGACCCCAGTGTGACTCTCGGGGCTCCGAAGTCAGACACACTGTGGGCGGGTGGGCGCGTACCCAGTGAGTGAGCGCACGCCCCTCCCCCCCGGCGGCCTGAGCACATCCGCAGGCATGGACGCCACGAGAAAAGGGACCCGTGTGCACATGGGACGCTGCACTCTGTCCTTACTGGTGGCGGGGGCGTGCCCCGTGTGGTCAGGGCCCCAGGCAGAGCTGAAGTTCGGAGCCGGGTGCGAGGTGGGGAGGAGTGTGTGGAAGATGAGGCCCCCGGAGGTGCTCCTCTCGCTGGGGGAGCCGCTGCTCACGTCCTCGTCGGCCGGGGTGCTGGGGTTGATGTCCTCTGGGTTGGTCCTGTACTCTCCCTTCTTGCTGTAGCGGGTGCCGTCGCGGTTCACGATCGCTAGGAGAGAGGACCCGGCCGTCAGCTGCCAGCGCTCACTGGGACCGCGAGGCCAGCACGCGTGTGCGCGCCCGGCTGGAAGAACGGCGCTGCCTCGGGAG